AGAGAGAAATGAAATGAAATCCATAAAATGTGAATTATTTACCAGTAATTAGGATTGCCTTTTAAAGCTCCAGGAATGACCAGGCCAGTATTTCTCACTTTACTTGCGTTAGGAAGTTAATAGGAGCTTGGTGAAAAACTCTCCAGCCAAGCAGGGTCTCATGCCCTCTGTCCTCAGGGCTCCTGTTGTGGGTCATCACTGGGTGGACTGAGTTTGAACACATCATGTTATTGCTTTTTTGCATCTACCTTGGTTTGAAGTTTTCCAAAGGTTTCCATCTCTCCTCTGCTCCTGGTGCTACCAGTCTACCCGCAACAGCTCATAGACTCCAGCATTTCGATGCAGAGGAGGACACAAATCCAACATTGCATCACAGCCCATCTTTAAGTTATTCACTTTTAATTCCTTCAGCCTTGAAGGGCCTTTAAAAATAGACTACTGAGAAACTTTCCTGCCACTGAGAGAACAGCTGTAACATACAGGAAATTTATAGAGAAAAAAAAATGCTTTACCTAGACACTGTTTCTGAGTTTAAAATATGAATAAAGGGTTGTATCTTCACTTGGTGATGCAGCTCCTCTGGTGTCAGCATCACTATCCCTGCACCAGTGGCTGAAAACTCTAGCCCCAACTTAAGAAGAAATTTCCACAAAAGATGACACATTTCCACAAAAGATGACAATCAAGATTTGCACGATTAGTTCAAACTATTGTTTCAAACTATTAGTTCTCCCATTGGCAGAGCTGTTGGAGAAACACTCAATGAGAAAACTCAATGAGAAAAATCATGACTTCTTTCTCCCAAACCACCTCTTTCCCGCTCCTTCAGGAACAGACCCACTCACCTAACCACTTGCCCCCAGGGAAGCAAATGAGGCAACAGATACAAGTAATTTGTCTAAAGGACCACAGAAATTGCTGCAGATGATCAGTCCCGAATCACACTAGGGCCATACCCTATCTCCACCTTGGCTATCTTGGCTGATTCTTCTGGAAAAAAAGAACAATAAAGATCTGTCTAGTAAGTTGTTTTCCATGGAGATTTTTATACCTGATAAATCTCTGATATCACTATACTCCTCGTAAAATAAAAACTTTTTTTTCTCCTCCTTGGTTTGGATTACTTCCCTTACAAGCCCCATTTATAAAGGACATAACCCTGCATTGCTGTCTGCAGTACTCAAGGACAGGATGCAGTATTTGAAGAAGCCCCTCCAAATCTTGCACAGGCTCATGCTCCAAAGCAAAAATCTAAGAGTTTACACTGGAACCTGAATGCCTCTGCAGCACTTTACATAAATGYAACACACGCTTAAATTCACACTTCAGCTTTTCCTAACATAACTCTATGGAAACAGGCTCCGATGATTTAGTGCTCCTGCGTCGCGTGCTACAGCGTTTGCTGGAGGTACGTTGTGCCAGATAAAATAAAACAATACCAGTAGCTTCAGTAAGTAGATTAATAACCCGTGAACTCATCTCCTTCGCAGAGTCAGTCACACACTAGCTCTCTGGGCTTAAGGAATGTATTTTCCAGGGATCTGGAGCATGTTTTCCCTCTTGACACATACAGTGCGTGTTCATGGCACATGTTGCATTGGCTGCAACAGGAGGCTGCAAACAGGACCAGACACATCATTTCCTTGCTTGAAGGTGGGGCAGCCTCCCCACTTCTCACCCAGGCTCCAAGATTCACACAGGAACGCTAGGAGAGAGAAAAAAAAGTAAAGCAACACAAAACAAAGCAACTCCCCCCAGCTGTTAAATAGTTGTAGCAGCCACTTTATCAGCTTCACTGAACATACCTGTCTGGGGAGATTCTTTAATGCCGCTGCATGTGTTTTTTTTTTTTTTTTTTTTTTTTTTTTTTTTTTTTTTTCCCCATTCCACAATTCCACAGCCTTCTATAGTTCCCTTAAAAAAGCCCTGTGCTGGACTGCAAGCCGCTATTAYTTACTACGTGCTCTTTTCACCACTAACGACGCAAAACATGCTTTCTTTGCGAAGGAGACGTGATTTTTCTTTCTTTTCGTATTCACTTTCCCCTGCTGAGACCACGCTATCATCCCCACGGCGCAGCTTAAGATACATAGTTTGGGGAGGAGGCGGAGAATGGGAGGCGGGGGGTGGGGATGAAGGCACTCCCGAGTGCTGATGACCCCCTTATCCCGCCCCCCATTCCTATCCCCGTCCCCTTCCCCTTGGCCGGCGGCGCCGGGGGCGGCGGGCGGCGCTTCCCCGGCGGGGCGGTCGCGCATCCCCGCGGGGGCGGCCCCGGCGCCGCCCTGCCCGGCTCCGAGGAGGGGCCCCCGGCGCCGTCCACGTGGCCGGGGGGGCGCTATATTAGGGCGGCAGGAAGCTCGACCGGGAGGGAAAGGGGAGGGCCGGCCGGGGCGGCCACCGCGAGCAGCGGCAGCGCGAACCGCTGCGGAGAAGCCGGCGAGCCATGGGGCTCCGCGCCCTGCTGTGAGTACCGCCTTCCTCCTCATCCTCCTCCTTATTCCCCCCGCAGCAACTTTCCCCCGCGCCGCCGGTTCGATCCTCTCACGGGGAGCCCCCCTTCCCCATCAGCTCGGCTGCTTTTAAGTTATTTTATCCCCCTTATTCGCACCCACTCCGCGCTGGCAGAGCGCGCTCCGGGCGCGCCCTTGAGCCGCGGTGTCGGGGCGCAGCGCGGGGTCCGCGCGCGGCTGCAGGGCGCCCCCCGCGGGCTGCCCGTCCCCATCCCGCCCCTGTCCCGCATCCTCTCGCCCTTAACTCCTTTCCCACCTTCTCGAATGAAACCGGAGCCTTTGGACCAAGAAGGCAGTTCTTGGGTACTCGCTGATTTCCAGGGAAGTACCAGCCGCGGTCGGAGGTTGGTAATTCAGTTGCTAGGTGTGTTTTAATTGTGCTCCATGCACTTACCTTCCCCGGTGTATCCCTGGCCTGCCGTGGTGTGGATGGAAGCGAAAGGGTGGAAGAAAATGCTGTGATGTATGTTTACTCATTCTGGATATGTGGGATCTGTTACCTCGTGGTAAAAGGATGGTTTGGTTTGTAAGCACTCAGAGCACTGAAATAACTCAGTTGTGTAAGGGAGAGTTGGGGTTCTATATTTGCCTACTGGGCACAAGTGTTGGGGGGTGGAACTCCTTAATTATGGATTCTCTGAGAGGCTGGAAGGGTGACAAAGCCCTTGTAATCTTCTGCATCGGTTTTTATAAGCTCTGAGAACTCTCCTTGAAAAGGAAATTAAATTTCGGCATGAAGAAGAGACAGGAAATTCAAGGAGGAAAAAGTCATCTGTATCTTTTTTTCCTTTGATTCCCATCCTCCCAAGTTCACTTTTGTTGGTATTACCACTGGTGGCATGAATTATGGTGTTCAAACTGTAGCTGTCCTGCTTCTTGGCCGCCTGCACCACACTCGATCAGCAGCATGTTCCTGTACGTTATTTGTATGATTGTGACTGGAGAGGTGGCAAGTATCTGCTTTGAAACACTTAGCTGATAAATTCAGTATCTGCTGGTGCTACTCTCCCTTTGTCCTGTTCAGTGTATAGAGCTTAATGCTAAGTCTGTGATACTCCAATATTCCCAACTCATTGGTGGGACTGTTAGAAAAAGTTGGGCCCCAAGGTCTTCCTGTGTAGTTTGGGGAGCTGTGCAAACATCCTTCCTGCACTTATCTGGCAACCCCAGGCTTTTGATCTGCTCAAAACACATTTTGAAGCTGGGAGTGAAACAGGCAATGACGTTGAGGCACTTTTTATGTGTTTTTTTTTTTAATACAGCCTTTTTTTGATTATCTTGGAAATGGCAGCAACAGTGAAAGTCCCGTGTAAGTCCCCATCAAATCTAGTGCTTTGTCCCTCTGCCAAGTTCTTGCTTCTCTTGCTCTATTTTGGTGCTGCTGTAAAGTAACACTCCTGCAGGTTTAAAACCCTGCAGAGCCAAAGCAGCCCAGAGCCAATCCACCTTTAAAGCTACCGGCAGGCTTTTAAAGCACTGTTCTCAGCAATATATTTATTTTCCCCTTGTGCTCGTGGCTTGAGTGGTCTCTGAAAGAGCAAAAGGGCAGAAGCATCCAATTCAGTGTTCCCTGGTTTTCTCACTTTTGACACAATTGGACTGTAGTGACAGCGATTTGTSTGGATTGTGTGAATTTTCCATGTCTCCCAAATGGAGAGGAGTTTGCAGCCTTGTGTCCGGTTTTTCTTACCAAGTGTGTGGTATTGCTAATGGGCATGGTGGCTTTAAAAACAAAGTGTTGCTTTGTATGAACATTTGCCTGCCCTTTTCCAAAACTGCTTTTATTACAGGGAGTAATTGGAGGGGAAACTTAGGGTTATGCAAATGGGGATTCAATCTTCTGGGCTCTAACAGCATTTCTCATCCCACGTGCATTGTAAATGCTAATGTTAAATGATGGTAGCAATATGTTCTTTATTAGAAGTGTCTCTTTAGATATTATACTCCAATAAGTGCTTTCAGAAGTGTGGTGAAGCAGAGAGATGCTTTTAAAAGTAAAGAAATCATAGTAAATGCAGCTCAATAGCACACTCAAAGTGCTGTTAATCCCACCACCTGGTGGAGCTTTTGACAGCAGTGGACTGTTGCTGCAGGAACTCCCCGAAAGGTTGCTTTTTTTGTTTAGTCTTAATACTAGCAGATGCTACTTTGTGAATTTCTTTAGCTTTTTTCTTTCCCATATCAAACTTTTTATTTTATCCATTTTCTCTCATCTGTAGTCTACAAAAGGGAGCACGGAGCTCTTAGTGTCTAATAAAGACCCCATCTATAGGACAGATAAATTGGTGAATATGAATTTATTTTTTTCCCTGAGCTTGTTTCTTTTTCAGGACTCTCTTTATTTCAAAGAAGATATGATGCTGGCTCAGGGCATGGCTGCAATCTGGGTATTCAGAAGCTCTAAGTTTGCACATAGGAACATTTCTTAAGTAGCAGCATCTGTTAGTAGCCTGCCCCTCAYTAAAGATACTCTAATGAGAGCTGCGGTGTGACTTTTGTGGTAGATGAAGTTAGCCTTGGGCTAAGCCTCACTCTGAGCATGACTACAGAAATCTTTCCTATGAAGTCTATGCACGTTCAAGTCTGCTATGATGCCTTTACCTGCAGGACTAGGAAGGGAAGACTGATCTGGAGCCTTCAAGTTTGGTGTGATGCACAGAAACCACATGTCTCGTCATCCTCAATGAGGCAAAAATGTGTTTAGAGCCATGCTTTGAGCTACCCTCAAGTATACAATGTGATTAAAGAAGTGCCATTAAGTTTGCAGCTCTCCTCAGATGTGCTGTTAAACAGACCCTAGGAAGGTGAGTTAAGATTGGCACTTAGTCTGTGAATCTCATTTATTTAAGTTACTACCCCACATTAACCTTTTAAAATAAGTACTTGTCAGCTGCTTTCACCAGTGACTTGCAAACAAAAGTGTCTGAGTTTTTGACTTTTTTGATCTGAGATGTAGGGATGTAGGATAAACTGGCCGTAAGTGGCTCCTCACAAGGTAGAGTTGAAGATGTGCTTCTGTCTCTGTGCTGTGCATACTGCTGCCTGACTTCTCTGCAGGCTATGCTTGCTAATTGGCAAATTCAAGTTGGCGGAAGTAAGAGGTAGAGGATTTAAATTTTCTGACTGAGCTCATTAGCTAATACTTCTGAAGGGTGAGTGAGGAACTTGCTYGTGCTAGTCATGGTCCTCAGAATATCATACAGTACCAAGAGTTGAGACTTGCAGCTAAGTTGTTACTGCATATGTTGGCATGGCTTTCATTGCCATAGTGTCTGGGTGCCTCTACGTCATTCAGTAAAGAGATTAACCCAGATTTAGGCTGATTGGGAAAGGTGGTACCTCCCTGCTGTCCTACTAGTTCTGGCTGCTGTGCTATGTCTGCTTGCACAGGCAAGATGGGGTAGCAGCCTGAAAAGGTAGCACCTTTGCAGCCTGCCTGGAGCAGGTCTGCGTCCATCTCTGGACCTGGGGGACATCTAGTGATTGACTTTTTTATTTTTTTCCCTTCTAAGCATAGTTGTTCTATGCATTTGAACTGTTCTGGCCTTCTGTAGCTGGTCCAGAACAGTGCAATTCAGATACCTGTGTCATATCTGGGAATCCTGGTAAGGATGGCTCTGCCTGGGTCATCTTGAATGGCATTTGAAACCTCCTTTTAGCAACTAAATTGACACCAAAATCACTGATATGCTCTAAGGGATTCAGGAAACTAAATACTGTGGTAACTGTTAAAATAGAGTTCTGAGGGGAGTAGTGGAATGTAGCTCATTCTTGGCTCTTTTGCACTTTAAGGTGTTCTTGCTTAAGTTGCTTAGCTTGTGCTGATGTATCCCTCCACTGAGAGAACAAGGCTTTTTTTTTCTGCCTATTAGATGACAGTTTCTTTGGGCAGATGCTCAATGTATTTTTTTTCTTTTTTTGGGGAGGAGACAAGAAACTTCTAAACTTGGTAAAAAGACAGCTTTTCCTGTTGGCAGATCTCTGTATATAGTGGTACAAAGCAGACATAATGCAAGCAGGTGCATTTGGTAAGTGTTTATGTGACTTTCTTGATCTTGGGGCATAACTTCAATAGAGCCCTCTTTCCTATTAAGTGTGTGCTTTTTTTTGGAGGAGAGGGGAGAAGGACCTTGATACAGGGAATGCCAGGTCTTAAACTGAGTGCATGTTTAAAAGCTGCTCCCTGGACTAGGTAACTGCTGCTGTAATTTTTCAAAAAATGATAGGTTTTTTAGGTGTATTGTTGTGTCCTCTAAAGGATGCTAGAGATCCAGCCTTCAGAAATTTAATCAATTACTTGGCCTCACATATCTGAAATGCTGCATGTGCTGACACATCACAGTGCTGTACTAGCTCAAAAGTCCTACTTTTATCAAGTCTGCCAGCCCAATTCTTATGACCCTTCTGGGGAAGCAGAAGGTATCACCAGAGATTATTATTTTGGGGGCTGGGAAGGGAGGAAGAGGGGGGTAAAAATCAGATCCCTTCACTCTAGCTCAAATCCAGTGTTTGCAGTTGGAGCTGATTTGACAGGAGGCATCTTCTTGATGCCCCTAGAAAGCATCAAGAGCTGCCAGGGTGCAACAAGGGCTGAAAAGTCTGTTTTTAAATCTTAAGTTTCTGCAGTCCAAGAAGAAATGCAGTGGTACCTTTAATACAATCTGCTCTCAGAAAGTATAAAGGCTGCAGTTTGTGTGAGTGGAAGCTGCCAAAGCTGTTGCTGCATTCATCCAATGAATGGACTCCTTGCCTTTTGAGTAAGGGAAGTATTGTTACCACCTCTCTGACACTTATTAGAAGAATTAAAATATGCCTTTCCATTCTTTTTCCTTCCTACTGTTTTTTCCTTTTGGATTAAGTTTACTGGTATTGTGAAAGAGTGACTATATGGTCAAGTCCTCTGTGCCCTTACAAGCAGATCTGCTGTTCTTCCCAAATACCTGGCTTAGTGCT